CGCAATACCTTGGCCTCCAGACTCAATGGAGGGTTCGCCTCGCTCGTATACCGTGACTTCATGCTTCTCTCGGAGGATACGGGCTGCTGCTAGCCCTGCGATACCGGAGCCAATGATGGCTACACGGAGGCGAGTTTCGCTAGTAGTCATGTCGTCTTCTGGAGATTTGGGATGGAAATGAAGAGGCGTGAAGGTCTCTTGATTTGTGACGAGTTCATAATGCAGCACAAGGGAGAGGAGCCTTCCTTTATAGTTAGCTTTTTAGTTGGATAAGACATATCGGTCAATGTTTTTTTGTCTTACAAGAGAGCTCGTTTCCGGAAAACAGGTCTTCAAGGCGTCCCAACGACTATCGACTATTTGGAATAACATTCCGCACATGTTATGAAATACGCAGACACTATGTCGGTGGCCCAAGTAGCAATCAATGTGAATCGTGAGAAAACATACGGCTGTTGGTAAGCAGGCTGATGATGCAGCCATTTACGCACAATTCATTGGGCTGCTCAACCACACCTGTTGGTTAAACACAACCGCGCCGCATCAAGAAGCTATCGGCCTCCGATGATAATGTCAGTTATAGGTACCGTAGGTCAAAATTTGGCCTGTAAAAGGAGAAATATACATCGAAACTCACATCATTCGGATCTGTTCTTCTGTACTTATGAACCACCATGGTCTTCTACCCTGACCAAGCCTCGTTGCATACGAACATGGTTCTCGACGGTACAATCCATTTCCACGTGCCAAACCCCACCTGTGCTACACTCCGTTGGCAGCCCTACCCATATCGGAGTGCTATAGAGTGATGGGCATCCCATAGCACGAGAAGACTGCGCCCACGCATTTGAATGGCTCGCATCACATCGCTTCAATCCATGGGTGGGTGGTGGCGTGCCGTCTTACTTCGGAGGGCTGCCTCGGAGAACGGATGTTGCCTGGTGTTTTCCGCTGAATGGATTGTACGCGTCGTTAGCATAGCCCGAACCCAAAGCTCGGGGAGGATTCCCCAATTACAGAAAGTCTTTCAGGGTGCCAAGGACCTTTTCACCTCCTGTTGTGATTGTGATGGAAAGTCTGACAGGTAGATATTGAAATTGAACGAATCAACTTACTTGGGATTTTGACGAGGAAGTCTATATCTCTTAGTCTGAAGCAAGGGACCGAGACCCGGAGTCTTATAACACATAGGACTCTCCAAATAGAACGCTACCCAGTGGTAATGACGTCCCTTGCGGTCGTGACAAAAAACAGGTCTCTGATACTCCTGGGCTTACTCTGGGGACAGGATTAATGAGCTGTTGGTCTCTCCGCATGACCACTTCCAGATCCGCTGACAAACGTTGAGGCCTAGATTACGTGGCTCCGACAAGCTAAGCATATCTGAAATTTGTGCCGATTTCTGCTATCTCCATCCGGCACAAGTGTTTCGATATTCTATGTAACTCAAAACTTTAAACATTTATTATTCGGTTTATTTATTTTTTAATCATCGTTCTTTTTAAGTAAAAGCGATATTAAATAAAGAAAAAACGAAAAAGTGTAAGCCTATATAATTAAAAGGAATTTGCTAAATATAACATACACTATTAAAATTATATAGCTTATATTAAATGCTAATGTGCCCAGCATTCCAAGTTGTATTACCATTGAAATAATACTGAATAGTGTGTCTTGTTGCGCGATAGCTTCTTCGAAATTCCATGCCTAGGCTACCGCTAGGTAGTACAGTTGGTCGGCACTTTAAACCCCCTTCCGAATAAGTAGTACTCTCAGAATTAGCTCTATATTAATTATACTACACCCCATTAGGGATTAATACACATCTAGTATCATATATCTGTTAGTCACGAGACTTTAGTCACGGCAATTCATAAGACCGACATAACCCGACCCAGTTCAATCTCCCTATCGCCACCTTATCTAGTTGAAAGGGAGGAGTCAAGCAGCCCTTTCGGGTCGGAGTACACCAACCAACCATTTTTGGAAGAATGAGCTGTCATGTTACGATTAGCCCTCCCTTACAGCTAGATCTGTAACTTCAACGCGTCCAATGTACTGCCGTCCATGTGACAAGGTACCTAAGGGATGATGGAATACTGGTTACTTCCAATAGTATGATGACGAATAACGAGATCTTAAGGCTGGACAACATCCATTTGCTGTCGAATTCCGGAACTCTCTGTGACTTCGACGGCAGTTGTCTTCATGGCAATCCAAGTACGCAGCTTATCGAGAGTACTTGTCTGAGAGCACAACCCCAATAGATATATATAAAGGGTCATTGGCCTTGACAATTATCGCATTTGCTTGCTTTGACACTACAATTACCCCCCAGAAAGTAAAGCACATTTCAACAATTCACGAAACCGCATCATTCTTTTCGTCATGTCCATTAGATTCATCCTCCCAGCGACCCAAGTCTGGGAAGACGACGATTTCAGACTTGAACTCATCATAGACGACGACGGGCTCGTTGGTTGGGACTCACTGCGTTATCTCCATATTAAGTTATGGAACACTGATGGACATCCAACGAATAGGGGGTTGACAACGAGGTGGTATGCTGAGGGCAGCCGCTGGCATACGGTCTGGCCGAGCCAATGGTTCCAGGGCCTTGAGACGTACGAGTCATACTGTTTCGTCGTCTCACTGCGGACGCACAGGAACAGCGGTACCGTTAGACAAGCAAGGAGCGCCGCGATTGAGTTAGCGCCGTATTATAGCAATTGAGTTAGGGTTATGGTTGAATGAGATTTTATTCGAGCTGGCAGTTGCTAGTATCAACAACGTTGAATCACATTTGATATCCGGCTGCTAACCTCATCACTGAATTTCAAATTCACTTAAGGCTTAATCCTCACAATTTTACAAGCGGTCGTTCATGACTAGCTTTTTCATTTGTTTTTCCCCTTTGTAGTTGATCACCGACGATACTGGCTGGACTTTGGGTATTAGTAATACTATCTTTTCAATTGGGTACTTATAACTCGGTTTGTTCCGGGCCTTGAGGTTCGAGATTCTAAATACAAGGCTGCAAATCGGCAGCTCCAATACGTTTTATACTAGAATAAATACCAAGGGCAGGCAATTCAATTTTTTTTTAGGTTTTCTAATCAGATTGGTGGCTGTGCTAATTGATAAGTTTATATGTTTGAAAACTTAAAATTGAATTAAAAAGCTGTTTGTAACTTGTTGTTTATCGGGGGAAATCGTCATTTCCACCACGTAGAGTCACTCCGCTAGACCTCAGTGCACCTGCTCCGTGATCTCTTGTCGCTTAGCCGCCGCCTCAAGTCCAGGGATGCCCATCCTTCCCGAGCTTGGCGTTCATAAAAGCCCGACTGAGCAGATTTTCGCCAACAATCTGATCCTTATGCGCCTCCATCTCCTCGATATCCCCTTACGACGCGGACCATGTTAGTGGAGTAGCGATCTTTAAGCACTAGAAGGGGGACTCACAGTTTACGCTAAGTATGCCGCCGCGCATCCATTCGGCGCGCGGAGTAGACAGGAAGAGTGTCCAGCTCCCACTGAGAGCGGCGCTATCCTTGGCATACGGCTTCAACGCATCGACAAGCATCCCCGTCTGGACAATCCCCGGCATGAGCGAGAACACGCGTATGCCCGGCTGCTCAGCGTGCAGGTTCTCCATGATGCGAACAAGGGCCAGCTTGGACGCCGTGTAGCCCGCCATACCCGGAAACACGCTGGCGATGGCGCCCGTTGTAAAAGTGACGACGGTGCCGACGCCGTCCGCCTGGGCGAGAAAGTGGTGCGTCATTAGGTATGACCCCAGCACGTTGACCTGAAAGTCGTTAAAGAACTTCTTGGGTTCGACGGCGCCAATGGGGCCCCCCTCCAAAGTCCCCGCGCTGTTAATCAGCACATCGATCTTGCCGACGGCCTCCTTGGCTGCCGCGAAGAGCGCCGCGACCGAGGCTTCGTCGGTGATGTCGGCCGCCTGGGCCAGCACTTTAGTGCTAGGCGGAGCGAGACTTCGGAGCCGTGTGGCGATGCCCTCGAGCACATCGGCCTTGCGCCCCGTAATCACCACGCCGGAAGCTCCAGCGACCACCCATGATTCGGGGATGGCCTGCATCTATTAGTCACGCGACAGAAAAACTGAGTCTCTGGAAATCGTGCTTACCTTGCCTATGCCCCCTGAAACGCCGGTAATGAGCACTGTCTTTCCCTTTGCCGACAGCTCTGGCTGGGTTGGCTCTAATAGTGGATAAACATCACGGCGAACTTGCTTCGTCAGCTGGTAGGGTAGGGTGAATGCGTTAGGATCCGAATAGTCCATCGTTGTTAAGGATGCGTAATCTTTTTTCACGGGCACGGGAGATGCGTGTACTAGGGCGAGAATGTGTAGAATTATGTCTCCGCGGCGGCTCTGAGCGACATATTATAAAAGGAACGGAAAGACACTCACGAAAATAACAACCAAAACAGGAACGACCCCCCATCTGACCATGCTAACTAATCAGGTGGTAGGCTACATAGTGGAGGATATGTAGGTGATGATGGTATTGGTCATATAGTATTGGTAATATGGTATTGGTAATATGTCAAGGTTGGCTGCAGGCTAACATACGCTCTGCACAGGCCGCAGCAGCCCTACGAATAGCCTGATCAACAGCTGTATCGATGCCTGGCATCTGTGACGGCCCGCGCTACTGCATTATATAGGAACAGTGCCGTGCAGGGGCTTTTGTCACATACTCCGTCATGTTAGACAAGATCATCCATGTAGGCCCACAACTTCAGTGGCATTATATCTCTCTTTTCAAAGCGTAGAACGGCGGCTTGCATTCTATGTGACGACCAACAGCGTCGTCGTCAGCAGCCCTTAACTTCTGAGTAAGAAGCTAATCAGGCAGAGATAATGCCATGGTCTCATTGAGGTAGAGCTGAACTCTCCTCTATGTTTTATTGAGCGTCTAGACGTATCTTAGAGATAATAAGTAGAGATCACGGGAGATGAAGCGCAATGCAAGTCTCGATTGGTCTAGTGGTAAGGATACCTGCTTGTCATCATTAGAAATCCGCAGGTGGCCGGGGTTCGATTCCCCGATCGAGAGCATATATTTTGTGTCCTATTGATTTTTAACCGCCTCTTTCTTACCTTGTTCTCTCTTTGGTTCTTGACCCTATGCGCCGCCCATTTCTCGTTTTTCTTTTTTCTCTAAGGTTATCACAATTCTGGGGGCCCTCGAGTTATTAAATTGATGAATTTCTGAGGCTAGGTTTTATGACACCTGTGCATGGATATTAACTCAGCAGAGCAGACAGACACCTCGTTTTCCTCCTCCGCCTAACTGCTGATCTGAATGACGTAACACGACCTCAGAGCGCATGAGGGATCCCTACATATGTACTTCTCCCTTCGTGCCCCGGAACTTGCTTAGGAGTACAACGTCGAAATGGCATAAATCCGCGTGCGTCTGATACATCAATTACGATGCGGTTCTGCAAATCAACACTAACAGTTGTGACCTTATCGCTTGCGTCGCGCAGAAGTACAAACAGTTGAGCACTGCCGTACATTAACAGCATCCTTCTGGCGTGAGAGCGTACTATTCACCCTCTAGGTTGAGTGTACGGGCGTCAAGTCGTCATGCAAAAGTAGCAAAGTGCCAGCGGGCGACCATGGGCCTCGGGTGTATTGTAGCTGTGGTATAACACACTGAATACGAGACCTTGGATATAAACCAAAAACCTCCCCAACGCCACTTTGCAAGCACTACAAAGTCGCCTTGATACCTATTGGGCCAACTACCTCCCTCCGCGCTTCCCCTTCCCTCGTACCAACAGCAACTGCCGTCCGCTTCCCCTGATGCATAGTCCACTTAATCGGGCCTTCAGGTAATTCCTCGACGCCGAGCAGCTCCTTCAACCCCCCTACAAGCGGCACGACCCCATGCTCATCTCTCGCCTGTCCGCCGTACCGCTCCGGTATACACTCGATATCGATCTCCTTCAACAGGGTACTCAAGACGTCGGCGGGAGGCACAATGACCAGCTTCTCTGCGGTACGTGGATCGAACCAGCCTTTCAGGAAGGACCAGATGCGCGGGAAATACGGCGGCGCGTTGAGCACGTAGATCGTGTCGACCACTTCAGGATAACAGGTTGCTAGAAGCCCTGTGATGCTCTGCGCATACCCCCGTATGTTCCATGCCTGCCGCAGACTTAGGGAGGCGATGTCGGCTAGGTACACGGTGCCGGAGACTGGCTTACTCGGCCGATCGGCGGCCATTATAGTGCAGAGCGGCAGCGCGAAGCGCGTCAGGTAATCGAGTGAGGTGAGCGCGCGACACGTTATCTGCGATGCGCCGTAGCTGTGGTACTTTGCGAGGTTTGCGCCATCCACTGCGAGGTATGTGGTTAGTAAGCGGTATCTCGACAGTGATCTACAGGAAATCAAATACAGAGAAACATCCTCATGCGTATTTCCCGCCCGGGCATGGGCATCTGTACCTCGAGGATGAATTAAGTCAACAGAATGGCCAGGGCATACTCACAATTGGCCACATCAAAAAGGCATATTGGGAGGCCGCGTTTCGTTATATGACCCGACCAATGGGGATACTGAGAAGCTGCGACGTCAGTTTTCATGCTCTGAAGAGGCGCGGCGGTTGAACGCGCAGAGTAAGACGATGGAAAAGGAAAATCGGTTACACACAATGCTGCGCAAGTGTTCAAAGTCATCAATATCAATGCTATTGTATGCTTCGCCCGAATTAGTGGAGTGCCGAATCGCCTGGGCTTCTTTAAACTGCTGCAGGGCCCCGGAAACATCGAATGAGCGAGCGTACAGGAACCTCCTAAAAATCGTTAGTATGAGGCTTAATGTGGGAGAGAGGTAAGGTTTCGGTACAATAAAGCAGCCTCATCTTGCAATCCATCTAGTGTATCCTCGGCTGACAAGCCCGTAGGACGTTGGAGCAACCCGAGCTCGCGACATTGGTGGACGAATGACTGGAAGCACTGCTGCTCATGAGCTGTGAGTTCCGTAGTGAAGCCATTGAGCTCTCCGTTCTCTTCCTTGCTCGCCCTTGGTTCCTCGACGGTGGAACCATAGCATTGCCCGTTCTCCATATCGCGCGGTCTCAGGTTTTCGGAAATTTGTTCCAGCTGTAAGACGGAGGGCCGGTATTAATATGAAAGATATAGAGAGGCTAACAAGCAGTATTTGCTGCTAGATGCCGGGCTACGGCCCGCGCGGGGGAGCTCTACGCTTATGTTGTACCTACTTCACTGCAGACAAAAAGAGCCAAAAGATCTACACAACGGGTCGGACCTGCATTTGTTGTGCTTGGCGCGGGTGTTACCTTTTTCGGTCAGTGATTGCATACTAAGGTAGTGGCTTCGCCTCCTGACACTATGCATGGTGTGTGGTCAAAGACGTGGGCGTCCTCAGAGAGCTGAGTGGTCTAATACAGCAATCTCTGTCTTCAAGGGCGTTGAAGATGAAGATACAACAAAGGCAGAGTGGAAACCCTGGGTCATTTGAGCCGAAGGATTAGTCTAAGACGCATTTGAGGGAGATGTAAGAAAGCCTCAGCTGAAGGGGATTTCCTAATTGTGCTAAGCGCATCCGTGATATCTCTTTCTCTAGCTCACTCGGTGTAGAAATCCATGTAAGCAAAAGAAATCAGATAAGTTCTTGCAGATGTGCGGGCCGTCTAATGCTACGTAAGCGGTGGGCAATGCGACCGGAAAGATGCAGAAGTTAATCTTTGCTTCATCCAGACAGACCGCGAGCTGTCATAGTCATGCGTGTACCCAAGCACGACGACTCGCAAAAAGGCCAACGTGTTTTGACGCTTCGCAAAACTTGGCGATCGCCTTCTATTTCCCCTCAATAAATCTTTCCTGGCCTGTCTGGTCAAGCAGCTCGAGTTCGCAAGCGATGTCATGTTCTATTGGACACGAGTGTGGTGGTTGGGATCTTCGGCAATACACGATGCGCCCCGCAGGTTGGCGGCGCAGAATACGCTGTGATCTGTTTCAAAGCGGTGTAAAACCCACGTATGAGCAATGAGCGAGAAAGACGAGCCATCCCGATCTTCGACAGTTGAAAGTGCCGGGACACTTTTCTCTGCTACGATGGCCTGCCTTAGTGGCGAAGGGAGGCCTTGTAAACCAACCTCTCATGTTTCCGCAGCTTCAGGCTTTCTACGGAATCTAGGCTTAACGTAAACTTCTTGCCGTAAGAAGTTAGCCACGTGTATTTGCAATCAGTGCCATCTCTATCGGGAGCTGGATGGCCCCGGGCTAGGATACGTGCATCCAGCGCCGTAGGATTCTTCGCAACAAAGTTGTCTCCGGAGTTATTGTAACAGTCAATGCATCATCGCAGAGCATCCTAGCGGCTGCATGAAGGAGGTCACTTAAGTTTGTCTGTCTCTTGAACTCCTGATCCGCAGCTTTCCGGGTACGAACGCGAGCGCGGGAGTCATTGCACGCAAGGCCCAGCATACGCTTGGTGACTTGCTAACTTGTTTTCGCGGGACCAGCTCTACGGGAGTTGGTTGGTGACTTGACTCGCCGTGAGAATCTGGGTCATGGCACGAAATACAGCTCGTGGCGGGATAATTCGACAGGAAGGCGTTGTTCGAATGCGTTGAGGCGTTCCGAAAGCGCGTGGGCTGAGGGCGCTTCAAGTTCTCCACGCTGATACATCGAGGGTGTTGCGGGAGTCTCCCAGCCCATCATAAAGCTCGCTTTAGGTGTGATGGCCGGCGGAGCAGCAATACACAGCGACTTGTGGTTAGGCGTGAGCTTATGTCACTCGAATTTCCTATATCACGATCAGAGCGGCTGGAGCAGCTGGTCAGGCTCTCAATCGAGCACATCCTTGGGCAGCGAGCAGAGGACTCGGAAATGAGGCTGCGAGTCGTTCAGCAGGTTCACAGCTTAGCTTCTTGGCCGCTTCACAGATATTCCCTTAGCTGCTGGGTGGTTGCGGCCTGTTTTTACTATCGTAGCGAACATTCAGGGAGCATTCGGTCGCTCGAATCTGCTTCCTCAAGTCATGGCGAGCATTCCAGTAACAAGTCATGGTGTCGACTGGTTCTTCTGGCGGCCAGATCCCCTGTGCTTGTTCCCTCACGGAAACGCAGCGACTTCTCTGCATGGTCTTTCTGGACAGCAGTGGATGGTTATCAACCTCTTCCCTTTTATAATACTTTAGCCTTGTTTGAGGGTTTGCGTTGTTACGCACGCCGAGGCCCCTGAGAGTTCCACTGGATTGTGCTGAAAAATAGCTTGGTAGCTATAGTCCACTCTATGCGGCCATGTAGGAACCTTCTGCATTCGCGGTGGCGATCCTGTACATGAGGCTCTGATTCGCATTAAATGCCACTGTAACGGGACAGGACAGGACTTCGACTTTGCTAGTAACAATATACCGAGTGGCCGTGGTGTGTATGAGGCTTTGGGGCCCTCAGAGTACCTAGGTAGTTACCACGTACCAGGTAGCTGAGTAGCTCCTATTTAAGCTATCACCTACCCGTTTAACTTTCCATTCCGGCGTAAAAAAGCTTATGTACTTACATACAAGATGCGGATTCGTCATGCACTGCTACCTCTCCCCAACCAGGTTATTAAGTGCCAAGCAGTAGCTGCGGGGACGCTATCCAAGCCCCATAGCACGCCTGGCCCTGGCAGAGCCCCCAAACGAACTCAACTACAGGCAGGTGGTATACTCAGCTGTTACCTGCCGAGCCTGCTACAGACGGCTGAGGGACATAGAGGCAGATGTAGGTGCCTGTACCACAGGTACTGCACATGGCAACTACATGTACGCTATATCGTTGCTAACTATAGCTTCCTAAAGCTTGTCGTTATCCCACCTCATTGGGTTTTTCTTGCGCTACAGACAAGCCGATCACTATCTCCGCCTCCCAATCCTTGGTGCCTTGGCCGTTGTCGTAGCGTAACTGTACTCGTACACCCATGCAAACTCTCTGATTATTCTTGTCTGCTCTACACTACTGGTAGATAACGGCACAAGCCCTGGGAGGTATTTAGATCCAGGTACAGTCGGTACCCGTAGCAATTGGAGCGGCTCTGTGACACGTCACATCGCCCGTTTGGCCTCACCCTGATCTGATCGCGAGCTGCCCCCGTATCCTGCGCCTTTGGCTTAAATCCCCCTTCACAGATCGCAAGTCGTATGATTATCGCCCGCTACTCACTATGGCTCTCGATTCCCCGCTTCCCAATGGTCCGTCGCTGCTCTCGATGCCGACCGAGATCCGCAGCGCCATCTACGAGCGCGTTATCAACACCGAGTGGGCGCACACTTCACCGGACTACTTCGTCCTTGACCGGCCCTTGCCCGCGCTCTTCCGCGCCAACAAGCAGATCCGGTCCGAGGCCCTGGACGTCTTCCTGCTCAAGAACCACTTCCACGTCTACACGAGCACCGTCGGCCTTAAGTGGATCGACATCCTCGGCAAAGACGTTGAGAGATTCCGCTTCCTCATCCTCTTCATCGATCTCAATCTCGAGGCATGGCTTAGATATCTCAAAGCTCTCTTACCCCACGTCTCAAACTACCTGGAACTGAGAATCCGGAAAGCTGCCGTCAGCTTATCCGACAAACGACTGCAGACTTTTCTGCAGTCCGCAGGACTCTACGATAAGCATCGTTGGACGAGCGAGCAAAATCCCGCCGGAGAGCTTATTTTCAAGCAGGTCGAAGCTTAGGCTCAATGTGTTTTGTGACCAACTACCGCGCGCTTCTCATCCTTTAACCATGGATGTGTTGTCTTTGCCAGGCGATTACTTGAATTATGTCTTCTTTGCAAGCCGATTATCATGAGTTTGCTACTTCTACATAATGACAGTTGTCAAATCATGTGTGAAGAATAGTCACAAAATGGGAGCTCCCTCGATTGCGCACTAAGAACATGTATGTTTAAATGACGAGCATTCTTTTAGAATGTACCATAGCTAACGTGGTAGAGATGAAGAGTTAGCAACTTATCTCTGTATAGGCCACTACGGTGTACGATGCTGGCCACCCCTAGGCCCTAAAAACATGGATACCAATGTCAGGGGCAATTACGTCTTCATATAGCCGACGTACTCGGGAGTGCTCATACTACATGACTTTACCAAGAACCTCACTCCCTCAATGGGCTTCTCAGAAGGCAAAGGGAAAAGGAATGTAATTATAAGCTTGTCTTCTCACCCCGTCTTCCAATCTATAATTCTCAACAATGGTATCTACGCAATATAATCGAGTGCATAATGAAGCGGCTGAGTGGCATTGATTCTATGACCTGCTCAACAGTACTCCAACTTATTAGTCCAGAGCTTTGTAGTGAACCTCCTCGCGTACTACAGTCAATCAGCTATAGTTCGAGACAGGTACCAAGGCTTTCTGGTCAACAAACCTTTGCCTCGTCCCAATTCATCACACAATCACCAAACAAATAAATGGTCATTTCATATATAAGAGCAGCGTTGCCGGTATGCAACTCTATGATGTTTGCGCAGTTTTTATGAAGTCTGCTTTGACCAGTTTTAATATATGCTAGTGATGTAGAATATCACTGCTATCATTTGCCCAGCACAGTGTGGATAAATGGGAAAGAAGTATAAAGTTATTCCATTAAGCGCAACACTCCAGGGCTGCTTTACTGGGTGCACCCATCAAAGTGCAAACCTACCTACCTACCTAGTTACCTCTCAAGGGCAAAAGGGGCAGGATAATAGTGAGGCAGAGGATATATAAATCAAAAAGCACGAAAAGATAACGCGAAGAAAGAAACACAAAACGTTTAGAGATGCTATCACATTACTGCTACTCCGAATCGGGGAATCGAACCCCGGGCTTGACGGCACTTTTCAAAGCGATCCGAAGGTCCATTGAGAGCGTCAAATGTTAGCCACTACACCAATTCGGATTGAATCGAAAGTAATGCGCTGCCCACTAGCGGAATCGAACCGCTGATCTTGTCATGGCATTAGCAAGACGAGTTTGCCTCGGAATACTAGTGACACGCTATACCACTTAGCCAAGCGGGCATCTGATTGGAAGATAGCGAATTTCACGAAATCCAAGGATTATGACACGAGAGTTGTCGGGAGAAAGCATGTGTAGAAAGAAATTGAGCAGTCATTAGGTAACGTGCATGAAATCCTGCACAGTATTCACCCTGATCCGAGGTACTGTAAAAGGAAAACCGCCAGCTGGGCTTCTAGTGTAGATAGCGCTAGCGTTCGGCAGATTCTACATCGGGGAATAACCGCTTGTGATATCATATAGGAGACACCAAGCACAGTAGGTATGATCATAGGAGTACCTCCAGTGTTGAGTATTATTAAAAGACGACTAATACATCACTAGAATGCTTAGAATAAGCATAGATAGCCCTGATCGTTGGAAGAATCAGAGCCGTTTCCCTATCAAAGATGTAATAAGCCTACCTTATGTTGAAATCCTAGATTGATAGTGGCGATTCCTTAAGTAATATACAACCTATAGTTATTGAAAACAACGCGCTCCGTGTTGCGGCAGAACAAATCGAACATGCCTCGCTATTTTCCTACTTCCTTGCATGCATGTCTGTCGCGGCTCAAAAGATCCAGTTATACCTCAAAGAACTGTAAGGCCTTCATAATCCGACGATCATGACCCTTGTATATCAGTTCCTCTGTCGTTAGCTGATCCTTGTTCAGAGAGAGCAGAGCCCCTGATCGGATTGATGTTCATAGGAGCTTCAATATACCCAGAGGGCCCCTCCGTAGCAGCGAAAATTTCAACATCGATCATTCTTTGAATTGAGCTGCCTGGCGGCTCATCCTGAGAATCATCTGGGTGATTCAACAGCACTTGATATCGCTCTTCTACCTCGGGTAGGTTCGGTTGCAATTCTAGACATCTTTGATATGCATCGCGTGCCTCTCCATATTGGCGGACACAGGCCTCATACTATAATGACGTGTGTTAGAAAAGGGGTCAATGGGAATACATCTACCCTTACCAAAACGCCGAGGTTATACCAAGGCGCGTATAGATATGGATTTAACCGTATAGCTTCCGACAAAGCATCGAGCGCGTCACGGTATTGATTAACCAAATAATACATGATAGCAATCGTGATCCAGAAATCTGGATGTCCCGCTTCTCTGTAGACTGCTTGGTGGAAAGCCTCATAGGCACCTCGCATGTTGCCGAGTAGGAGATGTACCCTACCCAATAGATACCAGTAGTGGGCAACGGAATTATCTGAAGGAATTGTGAGTTGCGTTCATCAACTTTGTAGTGAATATGGGGTGCGAGGTACGGGAAAAGGATGTAATGCATAGCAATCATACCAGACGCGATAGCAATCTCTATAGAATCCCTCGCTAGGTCAAGAGCATTACAGTTAGTGGCATCTCTCACAGCATCTTGAGCAAGTCGAAGGCCAATATAGGCATTTGCTTCGGGATCACTATCATCAACTGCTAGCCTACGATGAGCATCCTCGATATCGCGAACCGCCTCCACAGGTTCGTTAATCTGAATTCGACGAAAGTAGTTAATTTCTTTCGTTAATTCCATTGGAGGTAATTTGGGGCCAGTCCTGATTAATGGAATGTCTGGATCGTAAAGCCAAAGCAGTGGAGGGCTACGTTTCGAGCTCTGTGACCAGCGTTCACATGCAGAGCTATAAAGATTCAATCAGAACAACTCCGCATCAACGCGACTATGAAAAGATACTTACCATTGCTTCATGATTAGTTGGCTATCTGGCTGTTCTGAGATAAAGCCCGTACAATCAGGGTATGGACAACGTTCTTTTTCCCTAGCGTAGTTGTTCCGACCTGGAGACGTAGCATCACTCCTGTCATCTCTCGATATAATTATGGCCTGCTCTATGTGAAGACCGGATTTTACGGCGCGGCGCCATTCGTATTGTGAAAGAACTTTTCCTGTCTTCGCCAGATTGATGACGAATAAGTTGTTCGCAATGCGACTTGCACCCGGCCTGCTATTTGCATAGACGACGTTGAGTAGCAAATCGCGGAACGACTTTCACCTCGTTAGTGCTTAATGAGTCCTCCCAGTGGTATTTACCAGACTAGAACTTACAGCCCAAGTTGTACAGGCCTGCAAAGGCAAAGCCCAGCTCTCGCCTAATGCGTCATCAAGTCGGATAATGTCCAAGGTAAGATGCAGCGGAATAGCTTCAATCGCACGTGCAATTCGCTTCATTTGGTTCGCTACATCAAGCAAGACACGCCTATAACTCATTATGTCATTAGAAGCATCATAAACGTTCACGAATAAAAGGTTATGTCTCTTACGTATTTCGGCCGATTGCGTTTAGCATTTCCTTTGAACATGCAGCCAATCTAGGATGCAAGTCAGCTCTGGACTGCCAGCTAGGGGTTTGATTTGAAGGAACAACTACAGAATGAGGAGTTTTTTCATATTCTCTAGAACGCTGAACATTGAATTGGAAGCGCGCCTCATGAAAGACAGGTGCCGGCAGAGCAAGGCGGAGCCATCGGCCACACTAAGTGATAACATGTTCAAGTGTGCCGTAACATCTGCAAGACTCTGATCTAAAACGCCTAGCTGCTTCGATTGCTCCTCAGATTGCATGGTAGCGATAGACCGAAGTTCGGTAATAGCACTGGGTGTTGTTGAGAGAATATCCAGGATTTTTGAGGTCTTCTCGACGAGTGCCCTAGACTGCTCTACGACGGGTACAGACTGCGCACTCTTTGAATCTCGGATTTTCAATGAGAGATTCCTGATATGATTCCTGGTTTCAAGTCAGATACTTTTCAACTACGACGTGTAGAGCTTTACTACAGTTGTTGGGCACTTAGAAGCATGTTTATCGCCACCATCTCCGAGAGAAGTGTTGTTCGGAGGTCTTCGACGTCTTTCTGAGCTATCATAGACCAGTGTAGTCTCGTGCCAATGTTACTTAGGCTCCTTGTGCTGCGGTAGTGGCCTAAGCTACTCTGCTTGGACCTCATTTTGCCAACGAGCGCCTGTATAGGTGGCAGGCAATGCATGACAATTGCCCGGATCTGTTCAAGCGTCTTGGCCTCAGTAGCATCCTCAGGGGACAGACAAAGAACATGTTTAAGTGTGCTATGGAGAAGTTCAAGCTCAACACCAAGCTGCTGAAAATGCGTTGGGGCGTTCTTATAATTGCGTAATTCGACGGCAACACGCTCGAAAAGCCCAAGTACGGCGATGACATCGCCAATGGCAAATCCGAATGACATCGCAGTAGCATTTAAAGATACAATCAAGCTGTCGGATCTTATCATCTATGAATCGGCGGAAACATTTTATCTAACCCCCCGCCAGACACGAGACGACATCAATCAGGCTGCAAAGAGCACAGCCCCCAGCGACACCGCCTCCAAGTAGCACTGGCGTGCCTGTAGCGGAACAATCATAATCCGAAAACCTCCCTCCCAACCACCTGCAGCATCGCGACAGGAAGCAGCTAATCTAGGAATACCAGTGTAAGCGAAGTTCTGTTGTTATATAGTATTTGAAATCTGATCTTTCCTAGCTGTGCTTCATTATTCAAGCTGCAAAAGCGATCTTAATTGATGACATTGTTCAGGATTCGTCGTGTGAGGGTAACCTGAAAGCCTTTGTTATTGTACGGGAGCCTACACACAGACGGGAGGTTACCTATACAAAGCGCCGTGAACTGCATCGGGCCGTCATGTTCGTATTCATCATATTATAGGGCACGAAGCCGAATCGCAGAGGTTTCGGATTGTTCATAAATGAAGCTATTCAGGCCTTGGTGTACTCGGCTAAACCTTCCCAAGGGGAGGTTCAAATCCGGGCAGTATTTTAGATAGCCAAGGGTCTGTGCGCTCATAGAATATTGCTCTTATATTGAGTTATTCTCCAAGCCCTGTAGTCAGCCATTCCGATAATTCCGTCTAATTCTAGATCCGCGAACCTCCAGTCTTGGAGCCTTCCATACCAACAATTCAAATTACCGAGTGGGCTGACGAAAACAGAAATATGTGCTTCTCTGTATGGCAGGGAGATTCAGCAGCATCAACAAAAACTCGTGTTATTTGTAGCCATCTTTATTGTTGTCATGGTCATAAGGAGTATTCTATAACTTTCCTTTCTTCGGAAACCGTATTTGTGTAGCCCTGGTACGTGGGGGTCTGGTGCTTCTTCGAATTGAGAATGATGTAGCAAGCTGTTTCATATTCATTGGGATATGCGAAATGTTACACGAGCGGTACATTTCCTTTAATTCAGGACAGATCAGTAGGTAAGGGTTAACCTTGTATGAGCAACGGCCTTGTATTAGTTCTCAGAAGCGTTTCGCGAACTGTATCCCACTCATTGGCTGCACCACTAAGCACCTGATACTGAGATAGCTTGTGAATTTGTAATTGTTTTGCGTAGAACGGACGCAAGGGAAGCACTTCTGTTACCTCCTCCAATCGTTTAGAAAGCGTAGTACGCCATATAAGACCTGGTCTCTTTGCGAAATTCGTAAAAGGGAGCAATGGTCCTTTTGGTTACACTTCTAAGGGAGCATTCTGAAACGCATGAGTGCGGTGATCTCTCCTATAGTCGCATGCGAATAGATTTATTGGCTGGAACAACGTGACTAGCTTTAAACAAATCTAATGTGTTCATACGCATCGCCCCAGTCTGAGGTACCCATGGTAGAGCTGGAATTCTACGGCTCCCACACTATTTGTCGAGTCGGCTCCTGGGCACTGTACTAATAGATCGAGGGAGAGACGCTCACATCTGTACAGGCCATGAGCTCAGCTGTGCAGCTGCTAGTGTTTGGACGGTGATATAAGTTCAACAGCAGTGGTTATTATATTCATTTCTCTTTTTAATTTACTCTCCATCATTCGTGTCCACTTCTTTGATACCACCAGAAAATCTCCCACGCCA